GTTATTCGGTTGTCATCGAGCTAGTTGCCAGTCGAAAATGTGTTATGCCAAAGAAATATGCTGTAGTTCATAGTGTCTGAATATCGCTCGAGTTGCAAATGGGGTCGACCTATTATACAGTGGGCGTCAATGCTGACTAGTCCTTCTATTCCCGGTGGTCCGCTAAGCGTTCGAGCTCCTTGTCTCTCCTGCTTTTTCGATCCTACAGAGAGGTTTATATTAAGGCGACGCCGGTATAGAGGTTCTTGGAATTAGCCAGCGCTAACTCTGCATATGTTCGACCGATGCGGAATCCGCGATAGCGGGCTATACGCTAGGGGTACAACCGAGACCACAGAAACAGTCGTGTTCTCTCTCTGTCTCGCACCACTGTTATGATCTGCGTTTGAAGGAGTCGCCTGGCAACCGGCCTGATGCTACACAAACTTTTCACCTTCCATGACCGTAAAGGCCGTTCAGCAGAATATAAAGCTAGAAGCGTATGTGAATCTAGTCCGGACCAGATGAACAGGGTGTGACACTGCTATAGGGAAATGCATACGTATGCACTGACTTGAAAGGGCGCTAAAGTGATAACAATAACGAATATTATAGGGCAATAGTCTATCGATGATCTCCAACCATTTTGGGCAGTCGATCTCATAAATGTGATGTGGCAGAAAACTATATATAGGGTCGTTTCATGTGGCTGCATTGTTCAGTATTGAAACTGATCGCTCCCGGGATATCTTTAAATAATACAAATACTCTAAAGAATCGACACTTTGTTCTGTAACTGAGCTTTGTACATATGCAAATTACATTGGGAATAACGTGTTAAAACTTGTTCGCGAACAGCCTGAAATTATAGCCCAGTTCAACATGGTAATATACAGAGATCAACCTTCATTACGACGATTACAGTTCGTAGCGTAATAGCATGTTTAAAAAGCCTTAGTCTTCCAGCAATGCCAGATCATCGTGCGAGGTCATATATGTCTTATAATACAATTGCAACATACGCTGAAGCTTCTGATCAACGTTGACCATACGCAAATGTTGCTTTAAGCCCCTGCAAATATTTCATTATTTACCACTTTGTTGATTATTGACGAAGATTTGGCCTATGTCAGGTAGATAAGCTTCCTGAATTACACTTCTAGACGCGTCTAGCCGCGACTAACGCTTGAAACGTTTTGACGACAAGATGTCAATAGTCTTGCAAGCAAAAGGTAGAAAGATCGAAAACGTACGAGTAAATCGCGAATACCGCCTATAGTAATATATAGAAAGCGTGATTCTAGTACAGGCAGAGAGATCGGGTTCGGTAATTGTTAGACAATATCGTGCTGCGTCGGATCCGTTGATTTGCTGATGATGCCGTCAGAAGCCAATCGAAGAGGATCGATCGTTTCACGCGCGGAACGGAGTTATTATAGGGTCGTTCTGTCAGTTAAAGGGTGAAATTTAGACTCGTTGAATGGCCTTTAACAATAAGAAAACGTTAGGGCTACGTTTGACTTTAAATTAGCTAACGTCGTTATTGTTGAAGTTTGCAAAATAACTTAAATAGCCAATTCGTTTGTCGGTCTCTTTCTTCCTCCCCCGCCCTCTCTTTTTCTGTCTCTCGCAACCGTTTATTATTTTAGCATGAGCTGTGAGATTCAGGTAGGGTTCTTCCCTGTAAAACCGGTGAATGTTTGCATTATACGTAGATCTATATGCCTAATGCAGGTAACTTCATTCACGCGCGTTGCATGACCAATACTACTCTGTATCGGCTGGACCACATGTAGTATAGCGCCAGTGAAAGGCAGGCCAGCAGAGACGGGAGGGACCAAGTCGAAAGGCCCGGTTCGGGAATGAAAAACGTGTCCGTTGTTTGAAGAGAGAGCCTCCATCCCTACGCCAGCTCTTGTACTGGTTCTGCTGTGTCTCGTCTGTTGCTGCTGCTGCCGCTATTGTTACTGAACAACTGGTGTGGTTGAATTTTGCGGTGGCAACGATAGCTCGAAGTGTAGGCAAGCTAGTGTAAAATGATTGTCTGTGCATTATAGGTGCCCTTGTGAATCTTCCTGTACAGGGTTGCCGCTGCAGAACGGTTGTGTCAGCCATTGGCAGGATCTACGGCCGCAATAGATGTGGACTGCACAGGGTCGGCAGTTGACTATGTGTGTCGGTGAGCGTGAGGGGGCGTTGGCGATATATTACTGCCAACATCTCTGTCTTGTTGTGTCCTTCGTTCGTTCGTTCGTTCGTTCGTTTTTCAACAGAGTAAAACAGAGCAGCAGCGTTCGTCGCAATACTCGTATATATAGACCGGCCATATAGAGTGAGATTGACTGTAGCTGTGTGCGTCTGTCGTGTACATCCCATCTAGTCCCTCTGGTCCCTTTGGCGGCATCAGCGGCAGCCATGGCGTCGACGAGTGCAGCAGCGACGGGTGGAGACCGGCCAAACAGCCGGTTGGGATTCTGTCTCGACCATCTGGAGGAAACTGCGCCACGACCGCCGTCGCGGCCATTGCTAGTACTTCAGTTGCAGTCGACGACGACGACGAAGTAGAGACACAGGGAAAGCGCTATATAGAGAGCAGACTGCGAAGTGGACTCTAGGGTATTCAGCATCATAAACCCGTTTGCTTGCTTTCTAAGCCAGCCTCGATGTATATGAGGTGCGCGAGGGGATACATCAATAGAGATGGACGGAGCCGGCAGTAGCACAGAGCCAACACGAACCGCGCGAACACAAAACCGCTAGTGCGCTAGCGATGCTACCGCTACGACTATGGCTGCCAGTGCGCTTCCAATCGCTATACGAAGTTTTCTATATGTCTATGCCATGGAAGTAATACAGCCGATTCATGGAGTCGATAGATCGCTCGCTGTGCGAATCGAGTCAGCACAGTATTTTAGGCCAACTTAGTAAGAGGTGTAAGGACGCGAAAAGGAAGCAGCCAGCCAGCCTGCCCGCCTGAGCTGGGCATGGATTCGATGGATGAGTGGGGTGAATGTTTCAGAAGTACACGAGAATAGCGGGTAGCAAAAGGGACCGCTACAGGCCGTCCGAAAGGATGTAGGGACTTCTCTGTGGTTATAAGAGGTGGCAACTGTAATAGCAGTCGGCGGTCGTACCGAAGGGGGGAAGGTGACCGCGAAGCAAGAGTACTACTCGTGTTCTACGCGAGTGACATGATCAAATTGGCGTCATTCTATTGCTGTCGTGAAGGCGCGGAAGGCTTGCTGGTCCTTCGCTCCTGCCAGAAGCTTTTCTTTTCCGAAGGCAAAGACCAGCACTGGTCGTAGTTTGCTGCAAGATGAGATCGGGGAAGCAGCGGACCCGTCGGCCTTAGTCCACATACTTGAAGTCCGCTTACGCCACCGCTTGCTTTTACGCTCTCAGTATAAATGCAACCAACGGACTGATATGCTATGGATGTGCTGTTTGTGGGTGCTTAGGTATACATACATTTGTACATCTGTGGGTGTTTTTTGCGACTGACCCATGTCATTCGTTGAACACCCATTCGGATTTATTCGCCTTTTCAATGGCAGGCCAGTAAGTTCGCTACTATATAAGCTTTCACCCATAAAAAATATGAAGCACGACATGACAGCAGCGTGTACGTGCTGTGTCCTTCCTTGCTTCCGTTCCAGCGACTACTATAGCTGATATTGATAATGCGAGGTAGGTTTCCCAAAGAGAGATTTCTGAAAAGGAAGATTATGCTTCCTCACTTCTTCCGTCACGCGCGGTGAGTGTTAGATCGTGAAGGAAGTTATGACCTGCGTGGCGGTGTGGGAGTCTTGGATGGAAGGAGTTCGGGGGCTCGAGTGGAAGGGGTATCGTCAGCTGCAAGAGATAGGATACTAGGTCCTGAACGCAGCGCGTTATCGTGCTCGAATGCCTATAAAGTCGCTCATGAGCTTTACCGAGAAAGCAAAGCTCATTTTACCTTGTAAGCATAAGGCTAGCATAAGCTCAGAGTCTAGCGCGACGAAGCTCATAGCGGTGGAAATTTTTAAGCTGTTGCATCCATTCACCTGCAGTCTTCTATTGGTCCATCCAGTTTTTTTTTTCTTTAGGCTGAATTCCTACCGGGATAGTTGCGTCCTTTGTGCAATGATATTTCTTTACAATGTTCTGGAGTAGAATGAGGTGCGGAGCGCGTGCTAAAACAAGTCGTTGCTTCTATATATTTTTGTGCGGTTAAGCATGATAAAAAAAGAAGACAAGGCAGGTTTGGCATTGTAAGTTTCTGCCTATTCCTTCTGGGTGGAAACTTTTACAGATTACGAAACTGTGAGGGGCCTAACTACTTACCGGGAAGTTTCTCGTTAAGCTTCTTGCTGGTTCGGGCAAACAAGACTTGGCCTAGGATTTTCATATCATTGTGCTGTTGCATTTATCCCTTACATCGCTATACGCAGAAAGAAATGGGAGTCTGTTGAAATGTCCAGATAGGGCTTTAGGTGCGCACGCTAGCTGAAGGCGCCCAGATGGCTGCGACCTATTTACGACTGCGTCAACAAACGACCGAATATAGAAGACATCGATACTGCGATAGAGAAAAAACTGCATGTTGCGTTTATGCACAGTGACTGGAACCTCATATAAATTAGATCTGGGTCGTTATGGTCGCCTTATAGCCGTATGTCAGCTTGCACCAGGCTCGAAGGACGCGCGCAACGCTCAATTGGAACAGTTTTAGTATTATGAGTAAGACCTATTTCAGGAGTGACAAGCAAGTTATAGTTACTATAGCATTTGGCAGCCTGCAACTTGTTGTTTTATCCAAACGATGCTGCGAAGTAGTAAGAAAGACAAAAACATCGTAGATATTCGTGTATACCAATGGATGAATTTGAGATGTTCGCAAACATCTGCCAGAGTAGGTCAACCTAATAGGTCTACTCAATATGTAGGATTGCTATAACTACGTGGTATAGGTAATTGATTTCATGTATAGGGTATGTAATAATTGATTTGCTATGCGTTGTTTTCATGATGCCTTCTTTTAGGATGAACGACTAAGGCTAGCGACGGTCGTAGTCGGCAGTCGCCTGGAACCGGGGAGTCGCTCGAGCGCGCTCTCAAGCCGGTGAGCTTGAGTTGACGCCAGAGCTTAAGAACCAACCAGGCACCGGTCATCGGCGGAGCCATCAGCTAACAGGATGACGACGCGGTTTGTTACCATGTGGCCCCAACGGTTGTTGCGGCTGCTGCTTGTGGTGGCCTGTACGACATCCATCTGCTCCTCAGCTAGAAGAGGTTAGTTACATAGTAATTGAGTTGCTAAGGTTATTTAGGTCAAAGTTTTACGCTACAGCGTGAAGCGGTGAAAAAGACGAATGTGCCCAACTTCTTCGGGAAAACGTGGCGTTAACTTGACTAACGGGTAAGACTTGTGCTTGTCCCAGGTGAATACGTGGTTTTTGTGGTTGACCGAACGCGTCTCATCGGCAACAGCAGGATCTCGAACGCCATGTTAGGTTTGCATATTGGTATTTCAGTAGTTATCATTGTGAAATCACATGTCAAGTCCACTGAATTCGACGAGTTCTGTGTGAAGCAATTGCATAGGGTCGATGTAGTAACATCAGTCAGTGGCTCGAGAAAAGGAACATCCTATGTTCAATGATAGGTTTGGTTCACTATAACTACTGGCGTGGGTCTTTCAAGACTGCAAAGAGATAAAAGAAAAGAAATGGTCAGTGAAAGAGACATACAGGACAGGCCCCACCATTCAGGCTATCGAGCTTTTCCCAAGAACAGATGATATGTAAGGGGACAGCCATTCGGTCGTCGTCGTCGTCGTCGTCGGAGTTTCCTTCGAGCCTCTTATCGCGCTCGCAACTCCCCTGGGGTTGCACTTTGCCTCACTGTCGTTTCCTCCCACATTCGAGTTCATCATCAGTGAAGCGCTTCTTAATTTGTGACACAATTCTGCTTGGCCTTCTGTGAAGGAGCAAGCCACCATCGCCGAACAAGTCCCATAGCTTGAGTCGGACGCACACATAGTGGACCTACACCGGGCAAGCCCTTCTCAACCTGTGGTGCCAGGAGTGCAGGTTGATGGTGTCCTGTAATGCCGCTATTCCATGGATTAAGAGTTAAGCCTTAAAGTAGACGGGAAAAGTGAGCTTCCTTCGACAATTGAAGCAAGTAATCAGCGTCGCGCTGACTTCTCTCTCTGTCGCTCATTCATCGTCCACAAACCAGTAACGCTTTGCCAAGCAGCCGCTCCGTCATTTTGTAAGCATAGAATAACCTGCCCCTTCTTGGGACGGCGGTCAATCTGGTCCCAAATTTGTTGTTGAAGATTGCGCCTTGCTCCTCTTCGTCGTCCATACGTTGCCAAACGCCAACTCCAATTTCACCACTTGTCCTCGTTTAACCAACAATGTCAGTTGCCAGCTGCAAGCGGTGGCCTCAAAGCCAGGTTGTTGGCCCTTAGATCCTACTTTGGTTTTAATCCCACCGACCAACTTAGCCGAGAAGTGGTGCGCAATCGGCGTGCATAACTGAGGATTCAATGCTTCGGACTGCTGGCGCTGCTAGGACTTCTCCAATCTAGAATAGTCAGAACTTCTCGGATCGCTTCCCGAGCTTGGATTTCTTAGGTACATAATCGAACGGCGCAAGTGAAGCGACGGTAAGAGCGAGTGAATCAGAGAAATATAAAGATAGGGATAGAAATGTGCGAGAAAGGTGCTCTATACAGAGGCTCGGAGAGAGAGACAGAGAGGAGGGGGAGAGAGAGAGAGAGAGAGAGAGTGCAAAAGACACTTTGTTAGTTTTAGTTTAGCTGGCCAGTCAGGAGAAGTTCCTCGTCTTTCTTGGATCTTTGTGCAATCATGGAAGCACGGGTATGATAGTGGCTGCACGAAACGGTGCGCCTGCCCTTTTCGCCAGTCACTTTTCTTAAAGTTGCTCCAACTAGAGACCCAATCGGCGCTCGCGATTGCCACCCATTTGGGGATCTTTGGCGCCTTATTGGCCGGAAATGGAACCGCGGCCGAGTGTGAAATGCGCTCATTGGTGGCCAAGAAGTACTTCACTAGCTGAGTTGGTGGAACTGCCGGGAGTGCTACGGCATCGGGCGGCAATAACGCTTCTGAATAGAAGCTACTCGTTCGTGGCCGCTATTCCCAGTTTTCCTCTGAGAGCTTTTAGCTTACTGTGGCGACCGCCCATTTGCGTACTGCCTCTTGCTTCCTGGTGAGCACAAGCTGCATCTGTCCCAGTCGCCGCATCAATGTTCAGGTTAGCGTCTAGATCGCTGCCGTTGGTGCTAGTGTAAGGAAAAAGAGATGCAAGCAAAATTCTCAAATCGAAGCAGACCACGTGCAAAAATCCATTCAATGCAACGCTCTCTGACAGTTTCCCAGTCGACAATTTGCTTATGTTTATACATTTCTATCAGACCAGGTCAACGCAGGGCAGGCACTTGAAGTATTAGGTCAGCCAGGCCAGTATGCAAACTTAATGGTATCTGGTTTGTATCTTTAAGTAGCCACCCATATATGGCTTCGAGTGATGGCATAGTAGCTTTTGTCGTCACTGAAGGCGTAGCCGTAGCCCTTGTACTTATCATTGACTTAACTGTTTTTTCCAAGAAATACACAAAGAGGCATACAGGATCGAGCGTGTCTAAGCCTAACGCATGTAAGCAAAGCATATGCGGCGAGCCCTTTCAAGTTCGATTACGCTGTCTCTGGAGATCAGGGTGTCTTCAGAAATCATTTAATTGTAGCCACCAGAAATACAATTATGTTGCGATCTGATTTGTACAGCATGATTGATTTTTACAAACGCACTTCTCGTTTTCACTCTTTGACCTATCTATATTCCACTTCTGTCTCGTTCCCCACCAGTTAAATTGGTTGTACCCAGATGTTTCATAAATGGACGGTACGACCCCTATTGCGAAGTGTTACAGTGCGACGACCGCGCCAGATAACGGCAGCGCTGTAGCCAGAGTTGCCTGTGTGGGTCGCACTGATTCCAGAGAGATCCGACTATTTGACGATCAACGATCAACGGTCCTTACAGGGGCGGCCGTTTCCAGAAGGGTAGCTCGCGCAGGTAGGCGGCCTGCAGCCAACAACTACAACGAATCGAATCAAATCTGACGCCATTTTAGAACAACGGTGAAAAGGCTATGTAGACAACGGGACTGGGACGGCCTCTATGGCAATGGCGATTCGAGCCGCAACAGAATCGACGACGTCGGCGGCGGTGGCGATCGGTGTTGAACGAACGAAACCGTTGCAAATGACAGTGGCGGAGATACCGCGGTGGTGACGGAAACGTCGCTAGATTTTGAACGACGCAAGCGAACTGCACAGAAGGTGCAAAAGTTCACCCCCCGGGCTCAGTGCGAAAAAGTAATTAGTCACAACGCAATAAGGAGGAAAAGCAAACAACCAGACAGAGAGTGAACGGAAAAGAAAGAGAGCAACGGCGCGAAACGCCATTCAACTTTGATCTATGAGAGGACAAAAAAATGGCAAAGGTAAAACAACAATGAACGCTGGCCATCACAGAGTGGTTACATGCAAAGGCAGACAATTAAACAACAACTCAAGCTAACATTTTGGCAATGTGTTATCCACTTTTCATATATATATATATATCGTTTTGGATAATGATAAATTTTATTAGCCAACAAGATTGCTCTTGTTTCGATACGGTACAATAACCATTACGATCGTATCTATATCTGAAGGTACACCATAGGATTAAGGCCGTCATTGCTTCATTTTGCTGACAGTCATATTGTGTGTTTTCATAATCATTTACGAGCTAATTCACTCTGTATCTAATGTTAGTAGTTTTTGCTGCTAGCTTTGCAAAGATTCTCCTCGCGTTTTAACATAAATCAATCGGTGAACAATCAGCGGGTGTCAGTCGTCAATGAAATCGCATTATTTTTTGTCGAACGTACCCAACTTAAACTTGCGTAGCTCAACGTAACTTGCAGCTGCCACTATATAATTGGATGCAGTCCGTCAGATTTAAACACAGCATCCAGACTAAGGTAGAAGCTAAAATCCACGCATTTTTCAACATTTACAGTGGGTATCAGTAAAACAGCAAAGATAATCTGTGTTTTTTCGCATCTGATGTCTACTCAGCTGAAACTGGGCTTTTTTTTTTTTTTTTTTTCTGTATATAGGGATCGGCTAATTTTGTATATAGGGATAAGCTAGCGGCGTCGCGCGTATATAAGCTAGTTTCTATTTGGATAGTTGTTCGTTCAACAATAGCCACTGCTGACCAAGTATTGTCTGCTTTGAAACGCCTGCCGCAAGCCGCCGACGGAAACGTGGCAAATTATGTACACTATGTATTCTGTAAGCTATAGTCACAGTTTAGCCCCAATGGCCATTTTGGGCATTGATGTACATTTTAGTGTTTTACGATTTATAAACACGAACGATAATATTACGACTACAGGTACTATTATTATCGCTAATAAAGTAATGGTAGAATTAGGTTCAATGATTTTTGCTTGAAGCATCGCTTCGTGCACGTCTAGGCCAAAAAGATTCGAGATATCACATTGTGTAGAAAGCCGAGTGAACACAGATGTGGCCTGCTACACAGATGTAAATTCCGGCATCGTTCGTAAGGACGAACCAGAGGCACGCAGGATGCCGGCCGCAACGGCCATTGCCACCGCATTTTTTCTGCCTAAGGAATACTTGTGGCAAGTAGGCTAGTCGTTAGCTGCCGTATGCCGTTATGCTATAACCACAAAAATTACACGTCTCGATGGGAAAAACTTTGTCCCTACGATGCGGCAAGTTGTTGTTAATCACGTTATTCTATTGTTCTTAATATCTTTCTTAACCGTGCTGATGTTTGTTTATCTGATAATGAGATCCGTTCTGCAAGGGCCATTGCTGGCTTTATTTTTTACTGCATGCATGTTTAGTATTATTTCTACATCTATCTCATGTAATTTTTTTGTTATTCTCGTTTTTCTAGCTGGAGATCTCTGTAAGTATACTTCTCTACGAAGTTGTATCTGAACCTGATATATATATATATCTAAATTCCTACTATATACGCTTTCATGTTAAAAATTCCATCCAGAGGACAAACTCTTAACATACTGAGAATAGTTTTTCTCGCCGTATGACAATGGAGATGAAAATACCTTTCAGACCATTCCTGAATGTTTTTTTTTAAGTAAATTTCTAATTCCGCCAAATAATTTGCAGGTAGATAATATCTTAATAGAAAACAAAAAAATTTTTTGT